TGCAAAAATTACAGAAGATGGTGTTAAGTTTAAATCACCATATAATGGTAATTGTTATATAGAAATAAAATTTAAATTTAATTTGTATTTATATTATATTATAATAATTTTATATCATATTTTTACAATATTAAAAATATAATAGAAATAAAAAAGAAAATATGAAAAATATAACATTTTAATATTTCATAGAATCAGATTGTATGTTGACACCTGAACATTCCATACAAATACAAAACATAATAGGTGCAGATATAATTATGCAACTTGATGATGTAGTTAAAAGTACATTAACAGGACCAAGAGTAGAAGAAGCAATGTATAGGTAATATTGCATTACTGTATAGAATGTATGAATGAAAAATAATTATTATTATCATAGCATAATTTGCAATGATAATCACAAATAAATCATTTTTAAAAAATGATATAATATAAATCATTTGTAAAAAATAATTTTAAAATTATTTCAAGTTATGATTTTCAAGTTATTATTTTTGACATTATATTTTTGTGTTATAATGAAATATTGGATAAATAACTGTATCGTGTTTCCAACAGAAAGTTTATATTTCCATATTTCAGCGAATTTTTATAATAATGTAGAAACAATATTTGATACTGTTTCTCAAAAAAAAATCATCAATTGATTGACGCGATTTCCAATAACTATACGAAAATTTAGTGATCAGAATAAATAGATTTCTAAACTGAAGAAGTGTACAATCACTATAATAATTATAATATTAATATATATTAATAATATAATTATAATATATTATTATTTTTCATATATTCTGTACATAATATAGTTATTAATTCACATTAAAAATGTTTTTGATATTTAATTAAGTGTACAATTACTATAATAATTATAATATTAATATATATTAATAATATAATTATAATATATTATTATTTTTCATATATTCTGTACATAATATAGTTATTAATTCACATTAAAAATGTTTTTGATATTTAATTAAGTGTACAATTACTATAATAATTATAATATTAATATATATTAATAATATAATTATAATATATTATTATTTTTCATATATTCTGTACATAATATAGTTATATTATTAATTCACATTAAAAATGTTTTTGATATTTATATATTATTTATAGAACAACTAGGTGGTTAGATAGATGTTTAAAAGCACATCAAAAACCAAATGAACAAAGTATATTTCCAATTGTACAAGGAGGACTTGATCCCAAACTTAGATCAGAATGTGCAAATCAATTAATTAAGCGTAAAGTCAATGGTTATGCAATAGGAGGATTAAGGTACTAATACTTAACATGTATAATTAAATAAAAAAAAATATTATTCTGTTTAATTTTATTTCTTTTTTATAGTGGTGGAGAATCTAAAGATGAATTTTGGAAAATGGTATATCTCACTACAAATATACTTCCAAAAAATAAACCACGATATTTAATGGGTGTTGGATTTGCTATTGATTTAATTATTTGTTCTGCTTTAGGAATAGATATGTTTGATTGTGTATTTCCTACAAGGACGGCGGTAATTAATTATAAATATTATATATTATAAATATTATGTCTTTGAATTAAATTTAAAAGAATTTACATAAAAAATATAATAAATCAGCAGAATGCGATTTATATATATTATATTTAATTATATAAATTATATTTTTCCTGATAATAATATTTTTCAGAGATTTGGTTGTGCATTAGTACATACTGGCCAATTAAATTTAAGACAAGTTCAATATCGTAAAGATATGAGACCAATAGATGAATCATGTGAATGTAATACATGTAAAACATATACACGTGCTTATCTTCATCATATTGTAACAGTAGAAACAGTTGCATGTCATTTGCTATCTATTCATAATATTGCATTTCAAATGAAACTAATGGAAAATATTAGACGAAGTATTAAAGAACAAAGATTTCCAAAATTTATACAACAATATATATTAGATTTATATCCAAATAAGAAATATCCTTCATGGATTGTTAATGCCTTGAAAACTGTTGATGTTATATTATTATAAGAGATGTAATTTATTTTCATAATAAAATTTTTCTTTTTCAATACATATATATTATAGAAATAAATTATAAAATATTTGATATATTTTATAATAACTAATTTTAATTATTGATAATATCAATACATAAATTATCACTTATGAATAGTTTATACAAAATACTTATATATTAAGATATATTTCTAATTAATTTATTTATTAATATATATTTAATATGTAAAAAAACCAATGTAAAAAAAAATTTCAATGTTTAATATAGTTTTGCAATTTATATAAAATTTATGTATATTTTAATTGAATTTTATAAAATTTTATTAGTTTTCTCATTATTTTGTTTTAATTTTTGTAAAGATCAATAATATTTTTTTTCAAAACAATTAACCAAATTAAATTTCAAAATTATACATAATAATTTTTCTTTTAAATATATTTATCTATTATTCCAAATTATAGTAAATAGACACAAAAATCACAAATAATATTAATAATTTAATCACATAAAATCATCTGAATCATATCCACTATTTTCTGTATTTGATGTCATATTAGATGTATTAAATAAAGAATTATAACTCCTGTAAATTAAATTTAAAGAATTTAAAAAAACTTATACATTTTAATAGTAGTATAATTACTTTTATTTTACCTCATTTCTGCTTCTTCCTTTCTCCGTTTTTCTTCTGCTTTTTCTCTTTCCTTTTGTTCTTTTAAAAGTTTTTTTTTATCTTCTCGTTCATTTTTGTCTCGTTGTTCTCTTTCTGCTCTTAAATTTACTTGCTCTGAACGTTTAGTTTTGTTCAATCGATTAATAATAGTATTTATTCGTTTTGTAATATGAATTTTTCGAACATCTTTATCTCTATGAAAACCAACTTCTCCTATTTCCATTCCTTGTGTCTTTTTCAGATTTGACCACATTGTATATACTACATCAACATCATTCATTTTACTTCCTTCAATACTATTTGCTTTTACTAATTGTGCAGCATCTTCTAAAACTGCACTAGGTATATCATCTATTGTTTGTCCCTATAAATTATGTACATATGTATATACATATATACATATAATATTTATATACAATTGTATGTAAATACTACATATATTTTATAAAAAATATTTACAAGATGAAGACGAAGATATACATGTGCTGAAGAATATTTATCAACATGAAACCAAACATCTTCTGGCCACCCCCATCTAATAAGATCCTCATCTAGAAAATTATATATTAAAAGAATATATCTTAAACATTATAATTTAGATTTTAGATTTTAGATTTTAGATTTTTACTCACTTTCATATTGATCAATTCCCATAAATAATGTTACTGGTGGTTGCACAACTGTAATTTAAAGTAATGATTCGTTCTAACCTTATTTAATGTTATTTTAGTAGTAATGTTAATGTATATATTAAAAAAAAGTTATATACATACACTAAATATGAAACCAATGATAAATATTATTACCTTCACTTGTAAAATAATAAACCATTATTACAAAAAGTTTTGGTTGAAACACGTGGAGCAATTTATCTGTCAAATTTTAAATTTATATTATTTTGACAATTATTCACAATTAAAAAGAAAGTACTTAGAAAAAGAAATACAGATCTAATTGGTTATTTCTGATAGATCCAATATAATTATGTAAATAAGCACATGTATTGGTTGATAATTTAACGTCTAAAAAGATCATATAATTTTAAATAACGATAAATAAAAACGTTAATAAAATAATCTATGTTTCTTTTTCATTCAGTGCAAAACTTTTTGTATTCCTCATAATAATATAACATTTAAATTTCACAAACATATTATACTATAAAAATCGCATCATACTTATATTATATAAATATATATAAAAAATGAATATATATTTCAAAACAATATTTTTAAATATAAATTTTATTTATCATGTAAATATAAATTGTTATATCGAAATTATTATATAAAATAAATTATTATATAAGTACTGCATTATACAAAGATCGTTACAATTTGTGAATTATATTATATCAAAATTGTATTGTAAAAGTATGGCATTATATGAAGACTTTTATTTGTTAAATCAATAATATAACTAAAAAATTATAACTAAAGAAAAAGATAAAGATAAAGAAAATTATTTCGAATATTTTAAATCACTGTAAAAACATCAGATTAAAATATTAAATTAAAGTTCACAATTTTGAAAATTCCCTTAAGTTGACCATACACATTTTTATTTGTTCCTTAAATTTGGTCAGGATTGCCAATAGATGCAAATTGGATTTATCATTACATGATTGACAGAAGAAGAAAAAATTGAAAAGGGAATAATATATGCGATTATTATATTCAGACACATATATCAAGATATGTTTTCATGCAACGATGCAATATTAAATCATCATTTTCAATATTAAATCATCGTTATTGCAACAGTAATGAAACTCTGATATTCTATTATATTATACTAAATTTAATGCCATGTTTTGATAAAAATTATCAGTTTTTTTCTTCTCTATTACTTCTAATTAAAATGAAATATTTTAAAAATCTAAAACTTATATCTGGCAATCCTGTTCTGAACATATTTGAAATTGATTTGGAATAATATGTACTATTGTAGAATTGATTTTTTTACTTTATTATATTAAAAATTAAGTGACATAAAATAAAATAATCTTTATTTTATCAGAAAGAATAAAGAAATGATTGATATGAAAAATATATAATTATATAAATATAATTTTTCAAAAGAATTGAACTGATTCTATATGTTTACATATGTATATAATTTGTATATTTATATAAAAATTACATAATTAACATAATAAATTATGTTATTATTGTAAGTATATATTATATATTATTAATAATAATACATTAAAATATAATATATTTTTTTATAATGTTACTGAAATTTATTATGTGCATATAAGTTTAATACAAGTGTATTAAAAATATATATAAACATATGTTGCTAGTTAATTAATTTTATTAATATATTTATTATAAACTTTTATTATTAGAATTTGCAAAATTTTAATATTTTTTACAAATTGTAATATTTATTTAATGATATTGCTTATAATATGTTATTTATTTTAAAAAGTAATTTTCTTATTAAAAGTCAATTACATATTGATTCATATGAATTGCATGTTTTTCAGCATGATACATTGCAATAATATGATCAAGTACCGGTCCTATTTCAGGATCCCTTATTCGTTCACCTATAGCTACAGGTGTTTCCAATAGGGATAAATATACTAAAAATTTATTTTTCATTAATTATATTTACATTATTTAATTATATTTTTTTATTACTCATTAGTAAAAATAATTTTACCAAGTAGCATATTAGGATTTGTAAGACTAAGTTGGATGCGAGGATCATTCATAATTGCTTTATAAATTGGATTATCCGAATCAAGTTCTTTATCTAAATCTTGTAAGCTGTGTCTTCTTTCTCCAAGTAACCATTCACACTAAAAATAAAAATATATTAAACTTAAAATTTTATATTATATAAAATTTATAGTGAATTTAAAATTTAATAAAATTAAAATTATATAATAAATTACTTACAGCATTAATTTGATTGTTTCCAGTAATTTTTAGAGCTTCAATAATATTGCTTTCTTCAAATCCCATTTCTAATAATAATTGTACTGCTCTAGAATTAGGTTTAAAATCTATTTTTCTACAGTGATGATAATTTTTTAATAAACGATCTACTATGTTAAGTATATTCTCTTCCTTATTTAAATTTAAATCTTGACATCCTATATTATTATTAAACAATATTTTATATATTATGGAATAAAAACTGACATATAAATATGTATAAAACTAAAAAAAATTTTTAATATCAAGAGAAGATAATAATTGAAATAATAATTATTTTCATTTTTAATATATTTTATATATTTTTAATATAAAAATTTTTAAATATATATCAAGCATGAAAATTAAATGAAAATATAATTTAGAAAAAAGAACTGTAAGCACATTTATTAAATTTTTATTTGATAAATATCATTTTCAATAATAAAATCAAAAATGTTTGTTTCATATTTATCTTTTTTCATTGCTATAATTGTTATTTTCTCAATTGTGTTATTAATTTATTTCTTATTAGTTTTTATTAAATATTATTCTTTAAATAAATCAATATTTGTTTCATTAAAACATTTTTGATAAATATATAGAAATCATTTTTATTTTTTTATCATTACCTGTTTCAATAGATTCTGAATCTAAATCATTATCATCATCTTCTGGGTCATTTTGATGTTCTGTTAACCATTCTAAAGCTTCCATTATATTTGATCTATAATAATTAGTCATAAAAATTTAGCTTTTAATTTATTAATATTTATATAAATATTAATTTAAATGATATATTGTATACTTTCGTAAGCGAAGAATTTTTAAGACTTTTTTCTCAGAATAACCCATTTCTGTAAGAGTTTTTATAGCATTTGGATTAATATTTGGTTTACATCTTGCTTCTAATTTTTCTTTTAAAATATCACAAAATTTTTGTGCTTCTGGACTGTATAAAATAATTCTTGCTGATGCTTTTACAAGTGTTATTAAAATTTTTCGCACTTCATTTTGAAACTGAAGTATAAAATATATAATATAAATTCTATTTATGTAGAAAATGTAAAAGTTTTTGAAAAAGATGAAAATAAAAATATAAAAAAAATATAATATATAGATAAGTATATATTATATATGTGTATATTTATTTACATCTGCAGGACAATAAAGTGAAGGAATATGTTTAGGTGGATTACGTATAGGTAAATTTTCTGTTACTTGTAATATTAATTCTTTACTTGGACCTTTTAAAGCCTTTTCAGATAAATCGTCATTCGTAGATATAGAACGAATGTTTATTAACATTAATTCCTCTGTAATATAGAAAACTATTTTATATTATTATGAGTTTAATATAAATTTCAATAGTTTTTTTAATATTTTACCATTTTCATTAATGTTTTCATTTGTTATATTATAATTATCTAAGAGACATTTGAATTTAGTTGAATGAATTAAACGAAAATCACTTGGATTTCTTGATGTATCATCACCATAAAAATATTTTATTGCAATATTTTTGATTGCATTAATAGTCATATCTGATGTTATATTAAAATTTGTAATCATTCCTTCAGGACTATATAAATAAATTGTATTTAATAATAGTTTTTAAAAAAATATCAAATATTTAATAATATATTACCTTATAATATTAATTAATAAAGATTTTGATTCAGACATTGCGCAATTTTATAAATCTTTGTTTTAATAAAAGAAATCGTCAAAAATTTTTTTTTTTTTTTTGATAAATTTTTTATGTTGTACTAAGCATTTATCATATATTCTTGTAGTTTTAATTATAAAGTATATCTATAACATGAACAAATTTTTATTTTTAATCAATAAAATAAATCAATTCAAATATTTAGTTATTATTAGAGTAAATAAACTTCAAAAATTAAAACAATATTTATAAATTTATCTTTTATATATATATATATTACCAACAAATACTGTTTAAATAATTTTATAATTGTATTTATAATTTCTTATTTTATAAAATAATTATTATATATTTATCTTTAAAACGAAAATTTTTACTTATATTTATATGTATTTTAAATAATATGTCACATGATTGTTTACGTGTAGTTCATATCAAGACATAAAGAGTGCATCCGAAAATATATAACCA